TATTTCTCGACCAACTCACCACAAATGATAGAGCTGTTCTTTTTACACACTTAGATTTTAATATTATATTAACCAAAATGGCAACATGTACTATTTGCCATTGGTTTACAAAATTGCAAGATATTCTTTCTATTACTTTTTTATTCTGTTCAGTGTTTTTACACATGCAGAATCCTCATCATAATAATTTAAGTATTGCTCTTCCAATATTTAAGAAAATCATGGCCAATTATGCTACTACTTAAAATATAGATCTCCCAACTTCTATAATTGGTAAAATACTACTTATACTGAGAATACTATCTATCTACAACACTGTATTATCTTGCATAATAGTAAGTTCAGCTCAATTCTTGAAATGTGTAATGGTTGTATTTTACAAGATAATATGCTGCCAATATGTTTGATAAGAATCGCTATTGTTTTTTCAAAAACCCAAAAGAGTTGTGCACTAATATAAAGACCTCAATTGTCAAACTAGTAGGCATACAGTGTCCTATATCGCCATTTATGTTATATGAATTGGCCTTTGCAACTTTTACTTCGTAATTTCAACTACTCTAATAAGTAATCAAATTTCATCCTCTGTTACAAATCTCTCTTCTTTTTTTAAATATTTTGATGAACATTTATCAATTACATTAATTTATGTTCTGCTAACCTTACTAAAGCTTCTACCTTACAATTCTACACTGATGGATCTTTAATTAATTTAGGAAATCATTCGGTTTGTATGGGAATCACCTGGCTACAAAACAATCCACTATATCCATCTATTACTTTTAATACCACACTATCTCTTAATTTACCTTCATATATACTCACTGAACTTATAACCATCCTTACTACTTTATATGTCTTCCCAAATTCATCAATCATAAATATTTGTACAGATGCATAAATGGTTATAGACAATTTTATCAAGTTTGATTTCTTAAAACAATGCTTTCCAACCAATTATGCACTATACAACATCACATACTTTCCAATTTAGTTGCTTTTTTCTGACTTATTGAGGATAAAAATCTGTTCATATCATTTGCAAAAATCAAGGCTCATGTTTTTGACCAATTCAATAATGAAGTTGATACTCTTGCAAAAAAGGATGGTCCTATTCTCTCTTTTGATTCTATTTCATATGGTTCTGACTATTCTATATTCTTTCACAAACTTCCAATTCTGAGCTTTCCTAAATACTTCATCAAACTCCTTTTTCAATCTATTCATTTCCAAGACACTTTATCTCTTCTACAGTTTTCTTGTTATAATATAAGGGCTATTAATTGATTAATTTAAGTTATTAAATTTCAAAATATATCATTTTGGAAAAATAATCTGTAAATTAAAATAATTGATAATTTATAAATTATAGCTAATATTTAATTCTATTTACTTAATATTATTAATATATTTATAATAGGTTCAATATTCAGGATACTATAATTTTATTTGAAATATTTTTTTTATTCAAAATGATTTATATTAATAAACTTCAAAATTTATGAATATTTAGTTTTTTATTAAAATTAATATTCATACAGTCATACATTAATTTAATATGGTTTTTAGATACATTTGTAATAATAGGAGAATGAATACTATCACATATTTTAATAATTTTATCTATATCATCTATATTAAAATCTTGAAAATTCAAAAAATCTTTTATCTATCATTAATTTCCACATTATCATACCAAAGTTATATACTTTTAAAGTTTTAGTATATTTTTTCATATTTTTATCCTTAAAAAATTTCTGAAATCATATAAGAAATAACTTCATAATATTTATTATTTGAGTTCTAAACAGGTCAGATCAGACTAAATAATTAGCTTAAACTTACCTAAATTAAATATATATTTGACATATTTGACTTAATCTGACCTGATCTGACTTATCTAAAAAGAAATTTTTTTAGTTTTACTAGTTTAATAATATTTATATTCAAATATAAAAGTAATACAATTAATAAGAAACTAAATAATTATTAATTTTATTTAATATTTTTTAAAAAAAAATATGAATTATAATCAAATTAAATTTACCTTATTTAAATCATTAGAAATAATATTTTTAGAATTATTATGTTGTTTTAAAGCAACTATTAAATTTGGATCATTATATTCAAAATTTTCTATTTTTTCATTTCAATAAGTTGACCATTTATCTAAATAGCTTTATATACTTTACAAATCCTTCTTAACTAATAATTTCTATATTTTTTAAGTTGACTATAAGAAATAAATTTCATTTTGCTGGTTTCTTGAATAAAATTTATTTTAATAAATTTATCAACAATTTCAATTTCACTTAATCTATATAATAATTTAGATTGATAATAAATAATACATATTTCATTATTATTTTTTTAAGATCTTTTTTTAAAACAATTACAAATTTTATAATTATCATTTTCTGATTCAATTATAAAACCTTTAATTAATTTTAATTTAATAATATTATTTTTGTAAAAATTACTTATACTTGTATTCTTTAATACTTATTAATACCAATATTAAGCATTATTAAATTCTTTTTTATTACTTTACCTTCTTCATATAATATTGTGAGATTATATTGTATTGTGCTAAAGTATAATTATTTTTAGCAGCTTTTTGATACCAATATTTTGACATATTCGTTTTAAATAGAAAAAAAAAGATTTTTTCAGATTAAAATATAAAGTAATACAAAATATAATTGAAAAATTTTTTTTCGTTGTTTTTTTTTTGTCGAAAATCGGCATAAAATAGATTCATTTTTTATTCCGATAACGATAACTTTCGATAATTGGTTAGATATGTAAATGTTAGGCATTTCGATAAATATTATTTTGGTAAGTACACCATACGTATATTTACATTCTTTATAGAACATTTAGGCACACAATAAAAAATAAATGGAGAAAAAAATTATGGTCGCACGAAACCTTTTTTTATTTAATAATCGAAACAATACAGTAGTATGACAGAAAGATTGCTTATTTCGAAATTTAATAATTTCCGTATTTAAAGGACGTATGTATTCTTTGAAAAACACTAAATAATTTGCATCATGATGAACTAACATCGATTTAAAAAGCTCATATCGAAATGAATTGCACCGTTGAATTGCACCATCGTAATGTCAAACTGCCGTAATGTCGAACTTATATTATCAATCAATATCGATCGGGGGTCGTAATTAAAAAAACCAGAGATCCGAATTAAACCAACCCATAGGATCAGGATCATACTTTTGCTCGACCTGTTGGAATTGGTACTAGAAATCATGAATTATATTCGAAATCAATAATTTTGTTGTATGCAATTGAAATTACAAAAAAATAATTTGTTTTGAATAGAAAAAAACGAAAATCATACCTTTGATATATTATACGATCAAGGATTCAGGATTTCGAAAAAGTGGTAAGTAATTATTTGTTTTTTTTTAAAAAAAAATGATAAATTCACCTTATTTTATCCATGATTCCGGAGAGACTTCAAACATCTACAGAGAGAGAAGAAGAAATTATTGATTTTTTTATAATATTTTTTTTAAAAAAAATTAAACACAATTTATCATTGCGACATATTATTCATTTTAAACTTGACAATTTGCCGATTTGGAAATACAACAATTCGAAAATTCGGCATTATGGCGGTATAACTTAATTTGACATTACGGCAGCACAATTATTTCGCTACCGTAATATTTAGATCTCATGTATCAATTTATCTGGAACTAACATCAACTCGGAGACATCATAATTCTTTAGAGAAGCTAAAGAAGTATGGCGATATTTGGGAGTTCTACCTTGAACATCCAAGTAATAAATGAAGTAATTTGATTAGGCTGAGTGGATTCCCTAGAAAAAATATATTCTACAAATATACAAACAAGTGACTTTATTTACCGTACGACAACCAAATGTTAGTTAGACGAAATACGGCTCTTCAAAAAAAAGGAATAATATTTAATAGAAACTTTGATCCACCTACTGTAAATTTTTCAAACGTACATTGGTATGCAATGCAAAGAAAGAAACCTTGGAACTTGACCACGTGGGCGAATTGACCTCTGGCCAAAATGATCTCTAGTCAACTTGTCCTCTGGGCGAGTTGTCCTTGGAGAGACAAGTTTTTTGTGATATTTTTAATAAAATATAATTTCTCCGATATTCCCTTATTTTGATATTTTTTAATGATTATAGTAGTTTCGTAGGATCAACATTTAATAAAATTAACTCCGTAAAGTACAGAGCGCCGACGTTTGAGGCAGTACTGATTATTAATTTTTATTAAATAATTTATGCATAATTATTACATAATTAAAAACCTTCTGCGATATTATACATTAAAGAACTGATTGCAACACTATCATGTTTGTAAAAACTAAAAATCGAAAATAAGCGTCTTCGATAGGATAATGAAATCCTTTCGTTAGTTGTCCTTTAAAAATGAAACAATAATAATAATCTATGTTATGTTATGGATTTCTAGAGGATGGCACGATCATTTTTATATGTTGCGCAATATTATTTATTTATTTTTTTACGCATCCCTTACATAACTGCAAAAGAGGTACTTATTTTCACGATTTCACGGTAAGGTAAGGTAATTATTGAGCTGACACGATGCATGAATTCTGAAAGCAATTTTAAATCTTACAAATCTCATAAGTTTTCTTCTGTTGCTTGTTCTTTAAAATATTAGATATAAAGTATATTAATAAATTTTAAGAGATCAATACAATTTTTTTTTTAAGTTACATTATTTGATTTTTATTATTTGCAAATGCAATGCATCATCCTTTATATATACCACCAACACTAGAAATAGAAAATAAAATATTTTTTCAAGTCATTATAATGTTTATTATTATTTTCATTTGGAATTATTTCATTTGATATTTTCATCTGTTCCATAATTCTTTCCTTCTTCGCCGAATCGAGTTTGAACAAAAGGTTTTTTGTATTTGTTTTTTTTAAAAAAAAAAAAATGGTTATTAGCTTACGCCATGTATCCACTCCACAATACAACCCATAACTGGTATGAGCTAAATAAGACGTAAGAAGATATCCTGTTAAAGACTCTTCAGTTCAGAAAGTCGCCGTAACTCCCTTCATCATAACATCTACTTGTTCTTATTAATATCTATAGCCGTAAGACGATACTCCAAGACCAGGTATTCCTAGACATCTTGAAGCTCATCAGTTCAAAAGGTCGCCGGAACTCCCTTCATCACATCTACTTGTTCTATAGACACTCATAAATATTTTTTCATCCCAAAGATCCAGTAACGAGGGAAATCGCTTCGGCTTACCATTTTCAAAATTATTTCCGTGCCATGTTTAGGTATTGGGTTATAAAAAGTGAAGTGATGCGGGATCGTTTACAGGGTCCTAGAGGTAATCCTAATTTTGCGGAAAATGGTCATGGTAGGGTAGGGTATTGTATGGTTGATTTATTAAAGATATGAAAGGAACAAAGAGGACGAGGAAGAAGAACATTTTATTTTACTTTTTAATTTTTGGTATTTTGAGAAAAAATAAAAGGATTTGAAAGTGCCGATCTAAAAAAATCGGCATTTTTATACTCATGAAACACGTATTTTTAAACGCGTGAAATGTTTGGAAATTGTGTGGTGTAAACAAATACAAAACATTTGTGAAATTATTAAAAATAAACGCGTGATAAATTTGGAAATTGTGGTGGTGCAAACAAATACATAAACGCTTGATCAATTTGGGAAATTATTAAAATTAGCCACATTATACATATATAATCACATGACCCGAGCTTTTTTTAAATCTTCTCGCCCCAAAATTTTCCACCCACGTGACTTTGTGATTTTGGCCTGGTCCGAATTATCAAACAATCACGCCGCTGAACACGCGATATTATGAAATATTGGTAGCACATTCTGGCTTTTGAAACTGCTATTTCTTTCTATTACTTTCTTTTCCTTTGGTTATTAGAGAAAGAAAGAAAGAAAACATTGCATTGTAAGTACTGTACTATTTAGAAGAAAAGAAATTTATAATATGTTTCTTTAATTAAAAAACTACTTTATAAGTAAATTTAAAAATAAGGAAATATTGATTTTATTGATTTGTGTAATAGTATTACTGTGACCTTGCTACGTTGTGGTCACTTTGTATAGTAATTAGGGAACAATATCTAATTTATTAAAAAACTACTTAAAGTATTTATTTTAATACATGTTTTTATTTATCTGTCTAGAAGTTTATTCTAATTTTTAATTTTATTTAATTTTTCTCAATAGGAGTTAAAATGTCTTCGGAACCTCTTGTAATAAACAATAAAATTAATAATATAATAAGCAACACTATTGCAAAGGATGCGAAAAAATTACTCCTTAATTCATTACCATGAATGGAAAATTTTTTTCTTATTTGCAATAACATGTCGCGTTCAATATAATGCAGATGCTGATCAAATATTAGTTGATTTTCCTGATTTTTACGACTTTATTGCTAGTTTATTTGAAAATATAAACGATAACAAAGAAAATCAAGATTTAAACTTTCTTGTACTGTGAAAATTACTAGTTTAGAAGATAATCTTAAAGAATGAGCTGGTTGTATCATAAAAATAATATCAGATGTGGATGAATATACTATACATGGTGTAAGTTGATTCTTTAATTAAATTAAATTTGTAAACTTTTATTGTTTATTTATTTATTATTGTATTATTTTATTAAAGATTTCACGATCGATACTCACAATACAAGAAAAATTTATCGTTATTATTGCTCTCAAAGGGATTGTTTAGGTGAAAAAAACTAAAGAAATATTCTGATATTAATAAGAATCGTGATAGACAATCAATGGATATAAAGGTTGCATTAACATTACTATTAATGAGAATCTTACATTATCCGATATAGAAATGCATGTTTTACATCCTATACGAGCAGACGTATCCATTTCACCAGAAATCAAACTTTTTATATCAGAAAATATTGATTTGCTTCCACACGAAATTTACAAACGACTTGTTGAGCGTGGTTTGGATCTTAATATTCGTCAAAACTGGTGTGCGCAAATTGACTAAAATTGATACAAACGAGATGGAAATCCTTTCTCCACAAAAATAGCTTAAGGAAAATTCATGTCAAATTGTATTTCAAAAAAATAGTCCAAATGTTCTTGGTTGGTTAACTAGTTTATAGATGTATTACAAAACTCTCAATTCAAAATACGTGAAATTGGTGTTGATGCTACATGTAAGTGATTATTTTTTAGAATAATGCTTTATTCAAAAAATAAAATAGATACACATACATTTTAAAAATAGTAATGAAGCATTTGTTTAATTATTATAACCACAAATTTTAAATTGTACATTTTTTTAAATTTAGATAACACAAACAACCTAAAATTTGAATTATATGCGGTACTAGCTGAGGTTGATGGGATTGGAGTTCCGTTAGCATATTTATTTATGGAAATTAATGGAAATTATGGAAACGGCATTTGAACCATTATCATTGATTTCTTATTGCAACTAAAAATGTGTGGACTTTAACCTGAGTTTTTTATATCAGATAAAGGTTTTGCTCAAATTCAACAGCGCGTTTTATTTGGAAAGATATTAAGGCACAGTTGTGTCTTTGGCACATAAAAAAAGAAGTGGAAACAAGGTTATCAAATAACAAAACTTCTCAACAAATAAATTACAATGGTAATGCAGCACATCAATTATTTTCATTTCTTGATCGATCATTCCGACCTAGTTTAACCAAGAAAAAATACTCTATTGTCCAAAAGAATTACGCCCCATTAGTATGGAAATTCATGAATAAACATTTACATCAACATCCACTTATTCCAACAATTGATGGGCAATTCCTTTCTTTAAATTCTATTTGGCAGTAAGTGAAGTTTATAATTTTTGTAAACTACATTCTTTACCATGGCACTGGATATATCTATGGAATGAATGGTACAGATTGGATCGTTGGATTTTATGGTTTTGAGCAGGATGGGATGATAAAGTTTCAATTTTAAAACAAATATGTTTGTAGAAGAACATTGGATGGTGCTATAATGTAAATTATTATACAAATTCTTTCTTTCGCGTTTAGATTTAGTTTTGTTTATCATTATGAAACAGTAATTCCACATAATCAAAGAAAGTTTGAACAAATTTTTGTAATGAAAAGAGAAAATGCTGATTGGCGAAAAGCATTTAAAAAAGAATGGAAGAAGCTTTCAACACGAAAACTCAATAATAAAATGTATTTAACTGATGTCAATAATTGAATTTGTGGGTGTTCAGCTTTTTTTATTAGCTGATTTCTTATTTTGTAAACATCTTATACAAGAAAAAGAAGATGTTGATTTGTCGCAATCATCAGTATACCTTTCTTAATTATCAATACCAATAGATAATCTTAGAGTATCTATAACAAGATCTGAAGCTTTTAATGGTAATGATTTACTTGAAGATAATGACTATATGATCAGCTTATTGATATAACGGAAAAGATACTTGAAATTCTTAAAGGTAATATTTTAAAGTTTATTAGCTACTTATCATTTTTAATTGGATTGTATTTTTATTAATAATATGTTTAATTTTCTTACTAAATAGACCAACGAGACATAAGAAATTTAAAATGGGCGAAAGGTAATTTTAAACCAATAGAAAAATTGCTATTTGAAATTACTCTATAAAACGAAGGCGAACAATGCCTTGAACATTCAATAATCATTCTTTTCAATTGAAAATTAATTTTTTTATTTTATTTATAGATTTATATGTAAAACCAATATGATTGCATATAATTGTGAATTAGAAGAAAAGTGAATGTAACATTTTAATTAATATTTAATTATTTTAATAGGAATTATCAGAGCATATGTTTTCAACAAAAATAAAGGTTTTTTTTTTAGGAGTGATAAAATTTATAGGAAATTCCAAAAAAAAAAAAAAGTATATTCAGCGGTGCTAAGGGGGCATTATGAGGCAGAAGCTTAGGTTCAATTACATTTTTTTTTGCAAATTTGCTTATATAATAAAATTTATTTAATTTAAAGCGCAAGAAAATTTTCTGCGCCTTTATTTTTTTAAGTATATTTTGCAATTAACATAATTAATATATGTAAGCAATTGTATAATATTACATCAAAAAATTAAGAAATTAGCATTTTACGAATTTTTTTTTAATAGAATATTATAATATTAAAAAATTCTTAATAAAAATTTAACAATTCAGGCCAACTAATTTGGACCAAAATTTCAGGTCAAGGATAATCTTGGGTCGATACTGGGTTAAATTTTTTTTATGGAGTTGCTGAAAAGTGTCATTCACGTGATTCTAATGTAAATTTATTGATGTTAATTACTAAATTTACTAACTTTTTTCGCTTAATTAGAATGTATGTCACACAGATCAATATGGATTAATAAATGTTTCGAATTAGGGAATTTGTGATACGAGTAATTAATCTGCATTGTATAATACTAGTATATTATATTCATATATTTCTACAATTGCAATAAGCTTATAACTTCTTTGAAATCATTAGAATAGAATCATAAAAGAAACTCTCCTGTGGCATAAGAATCACAAAGTAGCTATTTTTTAAGAATTTTAATTTTATAGATCTAAAAAAACCAAAATAATTTCTTCTTTATGATGATTATCATGATTTTGAATTTTTTTTTTTATATTTAAAATTACTATTGTTTATATTTTTAAAGAAAACAATTTCAAAAGCTAAAACTAAAATAACATCAAAAGTAATACAAAATCACATATTTTAAAGAAAGTTAAGAAGAGCTTACAATAAATTTGACTTGATAATTCGCTTGATTAAAAGAGAAAGATTACTTTTTTGATTAGCTGAATTTTTAAGTATAACAAAATTAATTTTGCTAAAATACATAGAGAAATTAGTATTTTTTTTTTTAAATTATACACAGAAATACCATTAGTAATTTTAATTCATCTGTATAAATAAATTTTTTTAATTATAATAAAATTAATCAATTGAATAATAATAATTTATTATAATATTAATGTATTTTTACTTCAAAAGATATTTTTTATATATATAATCAAAATTATAAATTTATATTATGATTATAAACTTATAAATAAACAATTAAATAAATTGTAATTTATTTGATATATTAAATAAATTTTGTTATAAATAAGTAAAAATTTAGAAATTTAGTTGAATATAAAAATTATTTTACTTGCAAAATAATATTTTCTTACAAATAACAAATCTTTTAAAAATAATTTTAAAGTGTTACATAATTTTCAACAATTCTTTACATTTCTGAGTAAGAGAAAAAACATCAGACAAATTTTTTATTGGAATAGCTATTAGATATATAAGACTTAAAGAAAATTCATATGCTACTCAAACCTTTAATATTATAATATTTTACTCTCTTGATAAAGAAAATCTTGGTATGATTTAAGATTAAAGAAAAAACAAGTTTTATCTATATTAAACTTAAAATTAAAATTTGCTATTGAATCTTTTGATAATCAAATTAATGTAAGTAATTCTATTTATTTTGAATATTATTTTTATTAGTTAATTATAATTAAATAATAATCAATAAATTATTTTTTAAATGCAGTTAATTTTAATTTTTATGATTTTAAGAAAGATTTATCTGTTTATCAAATAAATGTTATGAAAATAGCTTTAGTTTTAGATTCAGTACTTCTTACAATTTGAATGTATTTCAGATTATATAGTAAAGATAAGCCAAATAAATTTCAAAATAATATTTCATCCAAATGAAACTTTTAAAAAATCAAATAATAATGTTAAAATGAGATCTTTAATTTTTGTTTTAAGTGCCTTAATATTAATTGAAGAAAAATCTTATTTGGAATTACATAACTTTAGTTTTTTATACATTTAATATCAATCAAACTTTGAATCAAAATCTACAAAAGAAATGCTTTAGTTTTCAATATCATCATCTTTATCATCATCACTATTACCTAAATATCATTGAATAATTATAAAATTAACAGTTTATAATAATATTTAGGGTAAAAGTATTCTATATCTGTATTAGAAAAAAAATGAAGTTTCAGCCAAATAATTAACAAAATTATCAGATATTGTAACAAATACACTTGTATTTCAATGAAATTTCTAAAAATTTACTAAAAAAATTTAGAAGCAAGAAGAATTAACTTATAAAATTTATCTATATTAAAATAATCTAAAGGTTATCTATCTTATACAAAATAATGTTTTCTTATATTTTTATTTACTGTAAATAAATAAATGTTTTTTATTTTATATAATAAACTTATTCATTTTTAAAAAAAATTTTAATATGGGAGCTTTGCTATTAAAAGTGGGTTCCGAGACTATAAATTGATTTTGAGTTAAATGATGATCAAAAAATAGT